AAAAAAGTGAGTCACATGGCAAAATCACTGGCAGGCGCACACAAGCCGTGAAAAGGCACTGGAAAAGGCACTGGGAAAGGCACTGGGAACAGACACGGCACATGGCAACAGTAAGAACCGTAGCTGGAACTGCTCTTCATCTGGCTTGCTTTCCTGACGTCTGCTGTCCTCGCTCGCAACGTGTCGATGTGAAAGTGTTGTTGAGCACAGAAGATTAAAACACAGAGTACTACGGATGAAGATGTTAGACTTGATACTTACGAGCCAAAAATCTGCAAACGTCACACCTTTAGACAGTAGATGGACCAAATATTCAAACCCATGTACCAATAACTGTCGCCAACCCCTGACCCCCAAAGGTCAATGTTGAACATAACTTGATTGAATTTGTGTTTCCAGGGTTTGATTTGTTTCGTCCATTCGCCGAAACATTCTTGCAAGACCTCTAACATTGAGCTTTGGGGTAGAAGGGGTCCACGTGGTTGAAAGGGTTTGAATATTTCGTCCATCTACGGTAGTACAGTAGTTCTCGTTGTCCCCACCATCCTCCCTCACACTTTTCAAGGCACCCACCCACTCTACAAGTACTGACATCGAACCACATTTGTTTGCCTCATTGACGTTGAAAACGACGTTGACATAGGCCAGTGGAAATGTCGGAGGTCTGGGAACCAGTCCGCCAGTTTCGGACAAGAGAGCATCAATCTGCATCTGGTCCTCCAACTGGTGTAGTCAATACTTGCCACATCTGGAACATTATGGCAATGGAACGTCTCCCTTGCTAGAATAGAAAAATGTTCATCATCACAGCCACACACTCCTTCTCTGCCGCCGGATCGAGATTCACGTGCTTCAGCAAGTCCTGCCACAGCAACTATCCAACCAAAGCACTAGTGGTAGATTTGGAGCACACAAGTGCAAACCGAATCCAAAGAGCATAGGATGCATAGATCATATATGTATGTATGTGTTTTGCTTGTGCGCTGCACATTTGAACTTCATACCCCACCTGCAAAGCTGTGGCGTGACTTCCCGGCAAGACATGTCACGTCAGCAAAAGACACTTCTTGTCCAAAACAAGGAAATGAGTGACTCAGGCCTCATTGCCTGGTGGAGGCTTAACTGGCCCCACACAAACACCAGACCAACCTGAGAGAAGGGCAGAAACTCTGTCTTGGAAGCGCAAATCGTTTTTGTGGCAGACTCTAGCACACTCTTGATTCTACATTGCACGGCATGCTGTAAGAGTCGAGCCAAGCTTAGTCAAAAAGTCTGCAAGACCAGAAGTCATGGCTGCAGTCCCCATGTGCAAAAATTCCTCGGCTATGAGTTGTCGTGTCGCAGTAAGTTCAAAGTCTGGGAAATTGCTGAGGCTTCACTGAAAGTTTCTTTGCATCTGCAATATTGTCGGATCAAGCAAGTCCAAGCCACGAAGAAAGCCAAAACGATTCAAAACTCTCTTGAGGTCCTGTGGCCCCGAAGGAAAGCGAACACTGCATGCATCTGCATGCTCCAAGATTCACAGCTCTGTCTCCGCTTCTTGGGCCGCTGAAGCAATGGACGCCAACTGGGCTCAGTCTGGGCAAACAGGTTGCTGTGGACCGCCTCGGGAGAGGACGGCAAAAGAATATAAGAGGAAAACTAGAATGAACGAAATGACCCTTGTAATATGCAAAGGGGACGTTACGGACCCCCTTGCTGTCCCTTTTTCACATATGTATCCTGCATGTGCTTCTTATTCTTTCCTTTATTCCAAACACCCTTCAACAAACAGAAATCGACCGAAAACCCATCAGTGGCAAAATCACACATGACCAAAATCCGTTGACATGACCTCATATTTGGGTGACTCATGGCAAAGAACTCTTTCGAAATGGCAAATCAGACCTCGACCGAACTTGAACATTTCGACAAGTCCATCATCGACTGGCTTAGGGTTTCTTTGCATTCCGGCCGCTGCATCATCCTGGTGGACATGAAGCAAGGGGATCTGCTGGAAACGCTCCCAATTCTCAGCATCCATTCGCCTGACCCAATGAATTCAGGTCCTTTGAAGTGTTGAGGTACCGAACTCAATTGCAGGTTTGGCATCTATTTCCTTGGATCCTGATGGCTTTTATAGAATCCCTCCAGCTTCTGCCTTGCAGCTTGTAGGATGGCATCCATCATGAAATCGATACCAGCGCTTTTCTGGATGCATGCATCATACGCATCCTGGAGCGCAAGGGATACAAGCTGCCTTCTTCATTGACCATATGCCATATGCTGTGTGAACTACTCTCCAAATTATCATCCATTCTCTCTATCAGACTTTCTTTCCATTTCTGGAGGTCTTTCAACATGAAGTGTCAAGAACAAGGTGCAGAAACACCTTGTGTCCAACCTGCACCATGGATGGCGCATCGAAAGCCACATCTGGGAGACCCAAGGGCGTCCCCGAGGCTTCAATACGGGCAGCAACTTGCTGCCTCACGACAGCAATTTCAAACGAAGGGAATAAAATGATCTCAATAAACAAGCCCAGTGCAAGCTGCTGGAAAGGAAAATACTCCGTCAATCAATAAAGTACCAGGTCTATTGCTCGTGTTCTTGCTGGAAAACACTCAAGCAATGCTGGAAAGGGCCTTGGCAGTCAAGGGCAAACGTGTAAAACTACAATTTGGGATTATTTACCTTGACTCCCTGGGGTGAATCATGCTCTCTGTGGGCCAGCTGTTCCATGGCCCAGGCCTTTCTTCCAGTGACCATTGTCCTCCGATGCCTAAATCGTCCTGACTCACAGTATTTCTCTATTTCGAAAGAAGTGAAGGTGATAAGCCAACAAAATGCACTGTAAAATGCCTTGCAACAATATGCCAATGGAAAAGACAGATGCTCCATTGCTCCAAGGGAAGCCACCATTCAGTTCTCTCAAAGGGAAGACTGCATCATTGGTCAGTGCCAACTTCTGACTCCACAATCTGCCAACAAACTGAAATATTTGAGGTCAAGGTGGCCAAATCTCTGTCAGCTCCTCCAATCTATCTTCATCATCATCGGCTGATAGTGCAGCTTCACGTCCCTCACTTGAGGACAGGATCCACCATCATGTTCAAAGACCACATTGCACAATGAAGTCAATGTGTCAGTCTTTAACTTGCGAGTCACAAAGCAAAACCCTTCAGCGACTCGTCATGTTTCGGTAAGGCCCTTTTCAAGCGGTTTCACTATCTAATTCTAGAATGTCAGCATTGTCCCCAGACAGCTTTGAATTGCGGGCCAAACGCTCTAAGGTATGAATTGCATGGTTGACCTTCGAATCAGAAACACTTCGGGTGGGCAACCCTGACCTTCGCTTTGATCATGGCAACTGAATGAGCGTAGATTGGCTTGCATATCCTGGAACGTGTCAGAACCGTTGCAATGCTGTTATGCAGATCTTTTCCTCTGTTGAAGCTGTCCAAGTCCGATTAATCAAATGAAATCAAATGTTGACATGCAGGCTGTCCATATAATGAGACCATGACTTGACGAATGGTCCAGCCATACGCACTTGTATATATATATATACACTATATTGTTATATAGTTTATATATATTTTTTAATATATATGTAGTTAGTTTATATTGTGTCCTATTTGTTCGTATATTTCGATGTGCTCTAGTTGTAGTCAGAGGTAGTGACCCTGACAAGCCTCGGAGGGTTATTTCATCATATGTTGCAGCTAGCCAAACGAACGGCCACAACGCTATGTAGGTAGCTTGACGACAGCGTTTGTCATTGCCCTGCGAAGCCTGGGCTGCACATGAATGAATTCTGAGGTCCCAAGGATCAGAAGGCACAGCAAACTTGCAATGACATGTGATTCAATATGTCAGAAAATATGAAGAGACATCTCCCTACAAGTATCATGGCTGCAAATAACTTTGGAGCCAAAAAGTTGCAGGGCCGCAGCAGAACGCCTGGCACTTTGTGCAACAAATACAAACTGGCTCCTTTATGCACACCACTCAAGGGTTGAACCTTACAAGGAAGGTATGGAAAAGGCCAAAACACGCTTCAGCTTCAGCCAAAGACTTGCACTTACAGTACTATTTATGAGAGTTCACTAAAGAAACTCATGCGGAGTAAATGCAGAACGAATCTGCAAAATTATGAACCATAATGGTACTTTACAAAGCTGCTTCAAAGGCTTTCTTTCCACCAAGTGTTTCTGGAGCGTGTGAGATGCGTTGTTGGTTTGTCTTTTGAGCTGCTGGCTCTTGTGAAGTCCTGGATACCGGGTGACCATGCAAAAACTGTGGTACCTGACTGGTAGGCTGGTATCTTCTTGGGCAAATGGCAAAACGGTGTAGATGTCGTGGAATTCGAATGATATGAGATGTCAATAGATTTCACATCTTTCGTTCAAGCCCACCCTCTGGCCTGTAAATTGCAATGCCACTTACTCTGCTGCCACTTGTTGAGCCTCCAACCTTGAAGGTCGCAGAAATCTCAAACGCTTCCGTGTACCTGTTCCTGTGGAAACTCCTGCAAATCTCAACCCTAAGGTCCTCAACATGCACCACCTCCCGATGCACATCCTACAACAAAGACAAGCCAGGCGACTTGATAGTGACCTCAAGTAGGCGCTCATGTGGTTTCCCTTCCAAAAGCCTGGCCACAAGCAAGCCCTGCCTGAAAGACAAACGACAAGTCTGAAGAAAGAGGTCCACTAGAAAAAACCAAAAAAGTGATGGGCCTTGGGGTGAAGAGCCGCAGTGGAAAAAGACCACATTGGGGCTCCAAATCAGCATTAGCCGCAGGAACCTGACAAACTCAGGGGATGCAAAGTGCTTGTTCCAAAAAGCAAGTGACCTGCAATGTCAAGCCAAGCTCGTATAGGATCCCCAATATGCAAACCAAAATTGGGAACTGCTGCTGGCCACACCAGCTCTGAAGCAACTCAAGTCTACTGAAATCTCTGCAACACAGACCTTCGCAATCTGCTCTGGTAAAGACAAAATCATAACCCTGGGAAACAGAACAGATTGGGAATCGTTAAAACTAATGTGCCTGAACCAATGACAACATACAAACAATATACAGTAATGCCCGAAGTGCTACGTGACTGCAGCACAACAAACCATTCCTGTTGCATGACAAACGGCAGTTAAACTTGTTGGTTTCTTGTCCTGGATCTAACAAGCTCAAAGGGTTGCTACGATTGAAACAAAGATTATATACCCATTGATCATTGACAGACTCTCCTCTCGGAGCCGCACCGTGTTCCAGGTAAACTTTGCACCGCTCATGCCAGGTGCCTGGATTTCTCAGCAAAGCCATTGCAGCTGTTCACGCTCGAGAAATCACCAATTCGATCAAAAAGTTAAGAAAAAATCGTAGAAAAGAAATGATCCACCTGAAAAACCTACCTGGATTGATTGGCACATGCTGCTCATGATGCTCCTTGAAAGGTTTTGCAGCACTACCTCACTACTTCCTACCCCGACCTTCAGTGGAAACTAGTAACATCATAGCCAAGCTTAGACGGAGCGCGCTGCTGCCCTATGCCCCTATGCGTTTTGGCCACACACCCAGTTCTTACGCAGCCAACTCGTTGCTTGGTTTGGTATAGCAATTGGTCTTTGATGCTCTGGAACAAATATAGCTCGTGTTGCCACTGATGTGCTCAATGTCAAATTCAATGGGCTTATCAACCCCTGTCCTTGGTTGCCTTTGAACTTCAGCATGGACCTACAAGATGCTGCATGCACCTCCATGTGTGCGTTCAAGCAGGTTCAACTCAATGCCTTTGGTGGGGCGTATTTATTCCCTGCAAAGCAAAGAGAGGGTTGTCCATCCTGGTCATTGGAAGCACAGTGTGCAGTCTGTCTAAAACCTCATATCCCACGTGATCAAATTTCTCGCGCGGACACTTGAGTCTGCCTTACTGGCAACAACCGCTGTCTCTCTGACAAACAACACGGGCTGATGATGCGATCAAATACACACAACATCTGAGTCTCTTTTCGCCAACCCAGGGCTATTGAGGGCACCACCAAAGATTCGTTTCGCATGGGGTTGGTCAAGATTAACACAAGAGGAACGTGAAAACTGATAATGGCCAGGTATAAGCCATTTTTGCAAACCATGGAGAGCAACAGCTCAAAAAAACTAGACTAGACACTTTTTGTACCCGTTTCAGCACAGCTAATGTGGATTGCTCACCTGTCGCCCTTGCGTTGTATCTGCTGCGAGCTCAGCAGTGACAGGGCCCAAAGAAGCAGAAGGATCTCCTGAGCGAGGTTGTTAAGCCATTGGATAGAACAGCCAAACGACATGATTCGGCAGGTTTGAATGCTTCCCTGCTTAGATATCTTCGAATGCTGGAATTGCCACGGTGGATGTTTGTAAAGGTCAAGAACTGTGGATAAATATGCAAGAGTTTGAGACGTTCACTCTCGAAGTTTACACGATACATGGCCCGCATTCGTCAAGGCTCTCTCCACAGCGAAGATGGAGATCAAACCGTGGGTCCTCATTTCCAGAAAGCAAAGTATGTTGGTATGGTGATATTGCACGGCTGTATCATTCCCAAGCAAAGGAAACCAAATTGTCTCCTCTTGCTGTTGTCTTTTGGCAGAAAATTCAATGAAAGAAAAAAGAATTTCATCACACACGCAAAATGTGCCACAAGCACAACAGAATGATCCATGGCCTGGAGATATCAGGGTGAAAGCCCACCACACCTTCAAGTCACAGTAATAAAGGTTTGTTACCCTCCAAACCTTGCAAAACATCTGCAAGTTTTGCTGAAGAGTCCAACTTGTCGTGCGAAGAACTCCCACTCAACAGGTGACATTGGCCGACGCATCAGCGTCAGACTGCTTTTTGATTGAGTGTTGGCGGAAGTCTATCAACAACCGACCAACACGTCAGGAGCAGACTGGTGTTAAAGTCGGATCGGACTGTTTTGTATTGACAGCTGGGCAAGTGAATCACACCTCAGCTCAGTAAGGCCTTGCGCCTCACGAACTCTCAGGTGCAAAGTTTTCTCCCGTGGCCAGCCCACCATGTGGGTGGGTGGGTGGGTATTTTCGAAGGCAACCTTGGTCGCTCTTGAGCCAAATTGGCCCATCTATTGTCACACTCTCAATTACACTGCTAAAGCCAACCATCGGCAAAGACGTCAGAAGCAGACTGGCGTCAGAGTCAGATCGGACTGTTTTGCATTAACAATGGGCAATATTGAATCACACCTCAGCTAAGTATAAGGCCTTAGGCCTCACAAACTCTGAATCTGGTCCAACCTGCGGAGATGGAGAACTCTTCGCCGGACTCTAAGTCTGGCAATTTTGGGGAAAAATTTCGTGCAAGCCCCGATCGAACAGGCCAAAAACATGCAACTTGCTAAGTGAAGCTGCGGGTGAATGCCCGAAAGGTCTTCCAGATGAACACGTCAAGTGGGTGACGTTCAAAGCGAACAACGGCACGTAGGCACGGGTACTGTGTGTACCAACTCAGTGCCCGGCGGGTTCCAGCCGTCAACGCAGCAAGTCGTCCGCAAGGCGTTGAAGCAGGGACCTGCCGGACTCTGGCACTTGCCCGCGGGATTGCTAGTGGTTTTGCGACGTTTGGTTGGCCGCGGCCAAAACAAAGCCGCCGAATGAAGCTTCAGGCGTTTGTGCCAGATAAAAATGAACTGTGACGTCCGCTTATAGCTTCACTCTTGCGCCCGGTCATGCGTCGCAAACACCCATATTTGTCACAGTTTTGACTAATCGACGAAGAGAGAAAACCTCAACTCCAGACCGGTCTTCCTGGTTCGGACGACTTGGTCATGGGAAGAATCCAAAACTCAGATCCCACTTCAACGGGGGCGCGTTTTGCTTGCTGAAGGTTGTCTGGAAAATCAGGCGGTTAAGGATAATGTTGAGGATGACTCAGTGGGTCAGGTCAGGTTTGCGTTTTTGCGCTGAAGCAATGTGAACTCGTAGTTTCCCCGCGCTTTGTCCAATGCAATCTCCCTAGCCAGCAAAGACGACTCTTTGGACTTTGCTCTTCCCTTGCCAGGTAAGCGCCAAGCACCAGAGTTCTCCGCTTTGACCCAAATTATTGAGCGCAAAGGACGCTGGATTATATCCAGATCCTGCCAATGAATGCTCCAGCCCTGAACTATACTCAGGCGGAAATGGGCGCAAGAAGAATATACTCGGCTCCCCTATCTTGACAGCTCCCATGCGCCAAGTGTGGCATCCGTCGAACGGCGGCGAGGACGAAAATAGTTTCAACTCCCGCAACCTTGCGGCTCGCAAGAGTCAGATGATCTCTCATCAGGTTCCGAGCGTGGGAGTAAGCCTTCCGCTCCGGACCAGAGGGTCCTCGCATGAGCGAAGTGCCCCCACCCATTCGCCACTCTGGATCCCAACCAAGAATGTCACAGCTTTGGGCGACCTCCCAAAAGTCAAGTCGCACACTATGGATGAACGAACTTCGACCCAGAGCTTTGCGGAGATCAAGCCAGCACCGACTGGGGGATTTCGCCAGCTATCTTAGCACAAAAGGCTGAAGTAGTGGCAGTGAACACCATCCCTATGGACGCGTTGTCTCAGGATGTTCTACAGTCCTACAACACATCATGAAGGACACAGAGCACGGCGTCTTCGATGTTGCGGGGTGCACAACGCCGTGCGAAACCCTTTGACGGAGCAAAAAGCAACGCAGCTGAAAGAAGCAAACAGATTGCGCGGTCGGCGCGGCTGGCGAATATAACAGGCCTACGCGAAGTGGATTCTGGATCGAGAACACAGAGCACGGGGACAAGCTTGACCTGTGGAAAACCTCCCCGATGAAAGTCTTCACCAAGAAGTTCAACTTGTGGCTAGCATGCTTTGATCACTGCCTTTTTGGAGCAGAGGTGAGA